TACTATTATCCTCCTCTTCTTTAAACTCCTTATTACCCTCCCTATTATCTTTATCTTACTTATTATTAGGTTCTATACGTTCCTAATTATCCTTAAAATACTTAACTACATTATAGTTAATATATTATATATAGCGTTAATATTGAACGGTTGGGAAGATTCGGTTAATAGCCCTAATAAATTGACTATTACTATTAATAATAATAATTAACGGCTTAGGGATTAATAATTCTTTTATTATCTTCTTAATATTATTAATAAATTAATTAAATCCTTTATCCTTCTCGTTATTAATAATTATTTAAAAAATTAGTATAAACGACTTTTTAGGGGTGATTATAATACTTTATACAATTAGTATATAGTAACGGTTCGTTTTATATATAATATTAAGGAGTAAGGTATATAGATATCGCTTCTATATTTTCTCTTACTTCTTTAAATATTAGAGACCGTACTATAATATACTTAATTCCTCCTTTTATTAACCTTCGTTATCCTTATAATAATTAAAAAGGTAGTATTGGAGTGTAATAAACCTATTACTCTCGAGATTACGCACGAACGCTTGTATATTAACGTAACCCCCGTTATCTTATCAGTATATCCTTTATTGTATATTCTTAAGGTCCTTATACGTAAGTAGTAACTTAGAGTAACGCTCTTTAACTATTACGTATATAATATATATAATTAATTCCTATTAACGAAGGAAATTCGTAATATCCTAATAATTATTAATATTTAAAGACTATTATTTAAAAATTAAATAGTTTAATAAGTTTCGTAATAGAGGGTGGCCTTTATATATACGATCGAGTACCTTAATAGTATATTTATAATTATTCTTTTTTTAAATATTATACTATAATACGGAAGGGATATTTATTAGCAATCTTTCGAATAATTGTACGTTATTTCTTATAAAGATTAGCGTTTAGATAGGGTATGGGTTCGGTGTAATTGTATTAAAAGATTTTATAATAGAACTTATTAATATATAGTCCCTTTTTAAAATAGTCGGTACAAAATATAAATACCCTAAATTTATACTAATAATACATTTTAATAACCTTATCTATTATAAAGTCTAGGTCGGCTAGTAATAAAGTAAAGGTACTATCGTTGGGAGGGATAATCTATTTAGTATTACTATTAAAAGAGGTATAATTATTTATAAAGGTAGATAACGAGGAAATCGAGTCGCGACAATAGCGAGGTTGCGCTGAGGAGGAGGTATTTTAGGAAATTAGAAACGATATTTATTAATTATTAATAATTGTACGCGATTAATTATATTTGCAGACGATTAAGGGCGATTGATTTAATTACGTATATTAAGAGTGTTGTATTATTATATATTAATAATATATTGCGATGTGCGATAACTAGTAGTATAAAGTGGGTGTAATTGGCCGTGTGAAAAAAGGGGGAAAAAATTACTAAGGTATAACGATATTACGTATATTAAAAAGACGAAATTTTGCGGGTAAAAACGGGATTTACAATGTCAGGTGTTATTAGCTATTTGGGCCCACTATTTTGGGTTTTTGGGTATATATAGGGAATAGGGTGGGTGCGCGGAGGGTTACTCTTAATGTATATATTAAATTAGTAGAAAGAGAAAGAATCTGTATAGAGGTTTGGAGGGCTAAAGACTAACGAGAGGAGGCCGTGCGAGGGTAAATAGTACCTAGAGTCACGTGCCTCCTCCAATAGGAAGTAGGTAGTGAGAGTAAATATTATAGATAAGAGGAGCTACTAAGGTATAAGAGCGATAGGGAGAGACTCTTTAGACGTATTTGTAAGAAGATAGTAAAAGGAATTAAAAAGAATATAATGTAACTGGTTTTTTAGAATATTATTTAATAAGTAGCTAATTAATAATTAAAATGCTATATTTAATAAAGAGAATAAAGGAAGACTGTACTAGAAGAGTGTAGTCGAAAGAAGGTTTTATAGTCGGGCGCACGAGCTAGGCAAATATATAGATCCAACTAACTAGAAGGCTCGCATTATTAATACGGCTAGTTCCCAGCTTGGCAGACTTGGTAAAGCCGAGTCTTCAATCCTGGGCGCTAGCCCTATAACAAAGAGTACGTACGTGGATATCTTTAGTACGTCTGAGGAGGTTTTAATATTATTTATCATTGCTCTTACAATGTCTACTCCTTTTTCATTGAAAAACCTATAAAGTAGCTATCTTACAACTAGAGTCTCAAATGTAGCTCGGCTATAACGGACGGCAGATTATTCACATCGATAACCTTATTAATGTTAAGCCTCCGACACTGAACTTCGACCCGACGCGCTATACGCCACTCTCGACCGAGAACAACGATTACCGGCGCACCAATAAGGTCCGCATCCTTAAGCTTCCAAGGCAATGATTTTTGGCGATCATCAAGAATGATGTCTAGCCGCTCATCCTGGCCTCCAGAGGCGTGAAGAATGCGCTTGTAGACCTCTACAGCATCGTCGTAGTTGTCTTCAGCAAAGACCACTATACAGGTATAGGGGGCAATGGCGACAGGCCAATTCAAACCTTTATCATCAGCTAGGTGTTCAGCCACGGCGCCAATGACACGCGAAATCCCTATTCCGTGGCACCCCATTTGCATGCTCACTGTTTTTGAAGTGCCGCTATCCCCTGTCGAAGGTTTGGCCTCGCTCGAACTGGGAGGCGGCAACGATATCTTTGCGCCCAATGGTTGCGAATACCGAGTGCCCAGGTGAAACGTGTGGCCCAACTCCATCGCCTTCTGGACATTCAAAGTTCCGGAGGAGCATTGTGGGCAATTATCCCCCTTGCGGATTCGAAGAAAATTCAAAGGTTTTCCGCCGTTAGTGGAAGATCCGTGACACTGAACATGCAATGTGGATGCTCCTGATTTGACAGTGTCTGGCCACACAGGCAGTGATGCGCTGCCTTTCAAACTGTCCGAGAACGACGGTGGAAGTCTGCTGTCGAAGAGATTCACCAGTCGTTTTGCTGTGGCGTCCGGGCCTTCTGTCGCCGCTGCCCAGAATTCCGTGGCGTCCGAAACTGCAGCATCTAAGTCTGGTACAAGAGGCTTGATCGCATATATGTTGATATCAGAGTTTGTGTACTCGCGCACTTGACCGGTATCCGTCCTGATCGTTCTCGTGGGATACCAGACGTTGACGAGTGTAGATCGGTCTTTGGTAATAGCCCGCCAAACCCCGACATGATCAGCTTGGCAGATCTCATGTGCAACTTTGGTAGTTGCTATTTCCTCGTTGATAGTATAGTCACAACTTCCACAAGTGATGACACTATCCTCCCCGAAGGGTGAGGGCAAGTGATACTCATGGCTCAGGTCGCCGCCCATGTCACCAGAACTAGCTTTTGCCGCCAGGACTGGGAGCTTCATGTCGTTGAAGATGCGTGAGTAAGCGGCTCGGACTTTCTCGTAAGTGTCCAAAGCAGACGTTAGATCTGTGTCGAAGGTGTAAAGGTCTTTCATAGTAAACTCGCGCCCACGAAGAAGCCCGTGACGTGGGCGTAACTCATCCCGAAACTTGCGGGTAATTTGGTAGAGTCGGAGAGGGAGATCCTTATACGATCTGACGGTCTGCGCGACCAGATTGGTAATCTCTTCCTCATGAGTGGGAGATAACAGATAGGCACTGCCTTTGCGATCCAGGAATCGGAAAAGCTACCACCACAACACGTTAGCCCAAACAAAGGCCTCAAAAGGCTGACGAGCTGAGGAGGGAGTGTGGGGAACGCACCTCGGGTGCAATATTCGGCAGTCGCCCGCTGCGCTCCCACAGAGCTTCGCTTGAAATGGAAGACAACGATACTCTAGAAGCCGCTGTCGGTTGAAGGTAGGTGTGAGTAGCTTGGTCAGGAAAGCAACGGGAGAGCACTAACCTAGCGACTCCTCCATGTGCTTTGCGACCAGTCGTTCTACCTTATCCTGTACCCTTTTCCCGAGAGGCAGCATGTGGAAGATGCCGGCGTGAGACTGACGAAGAAAGCCAGCGCGAACGAGCTTTGAATGGGCATCTTCAACCCCGGGAACAGCAAAGCCTCCGCTTGGTATCCAAACCTTTGAAAGGCGGGGTATGGAACGCGGCAGCATGATTTTCACATATATGGATGCCACAGTAGATGATGATATAGACCACACGTCAATGTACGCGAGAATACTTTTACTGGTACGGATGAATATTCGGTGCTCCGCCTTTTGTTTACACAGGGGAGCATTGTCGCGTCGCGTCGCGTGCGGCTGGTTGATGGAAAAGGCAGTGAATAAGTGGGTGCTCTTGCGCGCCCCCTCCCTCAAGTCCGCTCAAGGAAACTGCTAGGGATCATAATGGTAGAAGCTGGTTGAAGACGAACAACTTCAACCTCGGCGGAGGCGAGAGCGGTTACTGACAGTACTTCTAGGTACACTTGTAAAGATCAACCACACCTACCTCTAAAACTACCGCACCACATGGTCGCCGTTGTCTTTCCACGTCTTCGGTAAGTAGGCGTACTATGTAGGCCAGTGTGACCCGCAACAGGCGCAACAGGTATGTGCTGTATCGTAGGTCCCTGCTAGTCTCTGTTACAGACCCCCTCTGCCTCCGTACCCCCCGCCCCACATAAAATGTGGGTCTCCTCGAACTACCACAAAAACGGGTAGGGTGGGGTGGTTTTGGAGGTGTGGGTCTGACTGAGACTACACCAAATAAAACTTGAGAAGGAAAAGTGTCAATCGAAGTACCGCGCCAATGATTAACTTGGCTTGAAGTGTACTGCATAGTACATAGGTAGAGACCCGTCAGTGTACTGAGTACATATGTACCTTCACTCGCTCCACTTTTCCTGCAAGACGCACGAGGGTCCGCTAGGTGCATGATCCAAGCATTTTTTTTTTCCCACCCTTCCTCGTAGATGGTTTGTTTTGCATCACCAACAGCCAACCTCGAGATACATTGCGCCGGCCCGCTGTCCATTGATTTCAACAGAGACGGATTTAGGAGATATGGGCTCATCCAAGTCACCGAGGCAAAGAAAGAGGAAAGGCATGGGGCCGGCTTTCGACGAAGCAGCACTTGCTCAACTGACCGAAAAGATCGACAAAACTCTCGCTGGCGTCGGCACTGACCAACACGCGTCACCAAAGCGCAAGAGACCGAACACCACAGCTGATGATCGAGATGCAAAGAGGCGCCAGAAAGCTCTACTGGGCGCTGAAGAAGGACAACAGGACCGTTCCAGCAAAGACCAGTCCCACAATGCAACAAAGGAGGTTCTGCTGGAGGAAATTTTGGCCTTGGGCGGAGACGAGGATGATCTTGAGCTTGTCGCCAATGTTGATTCCGACAATGAAGAGGGACCTGGCATGAAATCCGCGTCGGCGCCCGAAAAATCACTAGATAAGTCATTTCATGATGAACTGGCAAAGTTCGCCTTGAGCCTGGGCTTCCAGAACATACCCCGCGAGGATGACCTTGAAAGCGTGTCGTCTGAAAACCCCGTCGACGAGGAACAAGACGATGAAGACGACGAAGAGGAGGAAGACGACGACGCGGAACAAACAAAACAGGATGACAGCCAGGATCAGGAACAGCCTCTAGCCATTCCTGCCACAGTAAAAAGTGAGAGCACAACTACGACCGTCCAAGACACCCTGCGCGGGAAGCAAGGCAAGAACAAGCTGGTTAGTTCGATGCTCTCGCTGCCGCAGACTTACCTGGCGGTATGCTAACTTGAGTAGGGTTTCGAGCCCAGACCTGACTGGCATGCCCTCGACCTCGAGGGCCTACCTGCCTTCACACCATCTGCCGACGTTAGGCAATATTCTTCAGCGATTGCCAACCTCAAAGCTTACGCGGAGGCTCTCTTGAAGGAGGACGCGGCAAGATACAGCGCCCTCCAGGCCTCCAGCTCCACTCAGAAGTTCATGTCGACCATTATGTCTTCTGGCACCTTATCCGACAAGGTATCTGCCTTAACCTTGTCGATACAAGAGTCTCCTCTCCACAACCAGAAAGCCTTTGAAACCCTGATCGGGTTGGCCGGCAAGAAAAGCCGTAGTCAGGCACTCGCTGCCCTGGGCGCTCTAGTGGATCTGCTGGGCAATGGCACAGTTCTGCCAAGTACTCGCCGGCTTCGTCCGTTTAACATGCAACCCGCCTTGCTGGCCGCTTTGCAAGATCAAGCTGTGCTGCATTGGGTTCAGGGCCAGAAGCTCCCAGCCAACCTAACTGATTCTCACCTGATGATGTGGGCATACGAGGATTGGCTCAAAGCAGCGTATTTTCGCATTGTTCAGCTCCTCGAAATCTGGTCGACTGATCAGATTGAGCATTCGAGAATGCGCGCGCTGGAATTTGTTTTCACGTTGCTCCGGGACAAGCCGGAACAAGAGGCCAATTTGTTGCGACTTCTTGTTAACAAACTCGGTGATCGCGAACGGAAAATTGCATCTCGGGCGTCATACCTCCTCTTGCAGTTGCTCAACATTCATCCTGCGATGAAAAGCATTGTCATCAGCACGGTAGAGCAAGAGGTTTTGCTCAAGCCAGGCCAAGGTCTGCGCACCAAATACTACGCCATCATCACCCTGAATCAAACCATCTTGAGCACCAAAGAGCCCGCTATAGCCAACACGCTACTCCGAATCTACTTCGAGGCTTTCCTTTCCCTCCTCAAAACTGGCTCATTAGGAAACCTGGAAGCGCTAAATTCCGAGGACAAATCTGGCGGCAGCAACAGGAAAGCTAAGAAGGGCAAGCAAAATCACACCGAGGCTTCTGCCAACGAGCAGGATACGACACAAAAACTCGTATCCGCACTGCTTACTGGTGTCAATCGTGCGGTACCCTTCACTACCGCCGACGATGAGACCATGGAAAAACACCTCGATACCTTGTTTCGCATCACCCACTCGTCGAACTTCAACACCAGCGTGCAAGCACTCATGCTCATTCAACAGCTCGCCGTGACCAAACATCTCGCTGTTGACCGATTTTATCGGACATTGTACGAATCATTATTGGATCCCAGACTCATCACGTCATCGAAGCAAGCATTGTACATGAATCTACTTTTTCGAGCCCTGAAGAATGATGCCGACGTGCGGAGAGTGAAGGCTTTTGTCAAGAGATTGGTTCAGGTGCTTAACCTGCATCAGCCGTCCTTCGCATGCGGGGTGCTATATCTGATTTCCGAGCTGGAGAACATGTTTCCTGACCTTCATTCGTTGATTACTGTCCCTGAGGAGAATGAAGATGATGGCGTGGAGGCTTACAAGGATGTCAATGATGATGCGGCTCTGCAGGGCAGTCTCTTGCGTGGAGATGCACCAACTTCTCGTCGTGCCACAGGATATGATGGACGAAAGAGAAATCCCGAGCATAGCAATGCGCACAGAAGCTGCTTGTGGGAATTGGTAAGTGCCATTTGAACTCTGATTGCATGTGAAACCAGTTTACTAACCTCAAAACCACCAGGCTCCTCTTCTATCTCATTTCCATCCATCCGTACAGGTCTATGCCAGTAACCTTCTCGTCCGTCAAAAGGGCCTGCCGAAGCCGGATTTGGCCAACCACAACCTCATGCATTTCCTGGACAAGTTTGTCTACCGCAACCCCAAGATTACCGAGACCAAGCGCGGAAGCTCAATTATGCAGCCGGTCCTCGCTACTGGTGGCGCCTCCCAAGCTGTCGTGTCCAGCAAAGATGGCGCCAAGAAGCAGCCTTCCGTCAACTCGGCTTCATTTTGGAATCTTAAACCAGGACAGGTTTCCCCCGAAGATGTTTTCTTCCATGAGTATTTTGCTCGCATCGGCAAGCCTGGAGACATGGCAAAGAGCAAGAAAGCATCCAAGGAGAAAAGTGGTCTGGACGGCGAAGAACAAGAGGAAGAAGCCGAAGACGAGATCTGGGAAGCATTGGTCAATTCTCGACCCGAGGTCGAGGGTGAGCTGGATGAAGACGAATCCGACCTCGGAATGGATGGTTATGACGACTCAGACGAGGAGATGGACACTGTCGGCTTTGATATGGATGGCCCTCGCGAGGACTTCGAGGGATCTGACAGTGATGTGCCATTTGAAGGCATTTTTGATGATTCAGATGACTCGGAAAAGGAAGCGGCGGTGGATGAGAGCGCTGGCGAGGAGGATGCTTCGACTGCAAAGAAGAAGGGCAGACTTAGCAGGAAGGAGATGAGGGGTCTGCCAACATTTGCCTCGGCCGATGATTACGCTGAGATGCTGGCTGGTGAGGATGGCATGCCCGACGAATAGTGTAGTTGGGCAAAGCGTTTCCATTTTTGGGTGAAAAGCTAGTTAGCCTGTAGCTCTCGAAGCCTGGTTGGTTAAAGATCCTTCCCCTGTTGACTATGGTGAGATGGCTCGAGGATGGGTAAGTTAAACCCGTGGATTGACGTTGGACACACAGTGCTCACGAAGCTTTGGCTTTGGTGGTCTGTGTAAGATACCTGACAGGGAGGTAAAACTTTTGCTCGCAACCGCAGGACATTCGCCTACATGCCCTACCAAAGATGTTTGTTCGCCTCCTTGCTCAAGAAGGCAATGATTCCAGTATTGGCTACAATGACTGGAGTAGCCATGATGTTTCTGATGCTTGCTCGTGATAAAATGCTACTACATCTACTGCTACGTAGCGTACATACCTCATGCGTACGTACCTATTCAGACGAATTTTCACATGGGATTAACTGATATTGTTTACACATGAGCTGGCTGGCCAACCACGCAGGGACATGTAACAAGGGGTATACGGTGGAGAAAGTGGAGAACATTAGCGGTCATCGACTCATCGGTTTTAAGATGTGAAGAGGTTAGTCGTGGTGGGTCTCTTGGCAGTGTACCGGACAGTACCCGGCATGGACATTTCAACGATTCAATTGAAGTCGGCGATGATGACGATGATCCGAAAGGGGGTTGTGTCGCAAGTCTTCATCTTCCAGCCCATGAAAGCTTTGGCCCTAGCCCTTCTGTCAAAATACCTACTACACCATTCGCGCCCAACTACACTTCTACAGTAGCCGTTGCACAGCTGTAAAGAGCTCTCGTATTATAGCCGCTGCTGCTGCTTCGATCCCATAACTTCACCGTTTGGCCCATTCCGCAGACACTGGATCTGGGCAGGGAGCTGCGCAAAGGTGGGCCCCATTTTCTCCGTTGCCCCGCTACACGCACGTATCGCGAACTCAGCTCCTGACCCTTTTTTGTTGGGTACATCTACGGATGGCATAGGGCCTGACAAACCATATATTGGTACGCATTGGAGATCTGTGGCAGCCCAGTATCGTCGGATGCTCGACGCTGCTGTATCCTAGGTTATAGACTGGCCGCTGGTCTGGAAAAAGACAGGTTCCCAAACTGCAGCATCATGTCCTCTCGGCTTGCATCCTGGCTCATACGCCGCCGTCCCGCTCAGTCTTCACGCTCGGTTCCGGCTGGTATACTCCGGACCACACCTTGCCGGCCGTATTCGTCTGCCAGTCACTTCAGTGAGCCGCCCACATCCCTCTTATTCCGTGCCCGGGCGTTATGCTTCTGCTGCTCTACCGGCCTTGCTGACTTATCGGCCGGCATGTTGCCGCCTTAGACCTGGCCACTGCCCCCGCATCGCCGGTTCGGCCTTTCTTCTTTCGGGCGTTTCTGTCTACCCTCCGCTTTTCTTTCCGTGCTCTGCTTCTCACAACACTCGGCTTTGTGATCGCGGCCGCGCCTGCCTACGACACCATGGTTGCCATCACTTCACCGCCCAGCGACGCCGAAACCGTCTCTCTATTTACCCCCCCGGATGATGACGCTCAGGCCAAGGAGAACTTTATCAACTCGCATCCCCTGACCCTCTCCCTGAGGGCCAATCCCGTCTTCATCGAGTCACGTCCACACATGAAGATTCCTGAGGCATGGCGAAAACGAAATCTGACGGGTGGCGTCCTCATGGGTCCAGGAAAAGTGGTGGTTCCGCCCTTCAGCTTTTCCGAGAAGACGGGAAAGAACTTTGTGCAGATATCCCACGTTGGAACTGATCTGTGCGGTCACATGGGCGTCATCCATGGCGGTTTTCTGGCTACGATGCTCGATGAAGGTTTGGCCAGATGCTGCTTCCCCGTGTTGCCTTTCAACGTCGGCATGACGGCCAAGCTGGACATTAACTACAAAGCTCCCGCCATGGCAGACCAGTATCTTGTCTTACGGGCCACCACCGTCAAGGTGGAAGGACGAAAGGCTTGGGTGGAAGGCCACATCGAGACACTCCCGTCCAAGGAAGGAGAGGAGCCAACCGTGTTGGTGACAGCAAGCGCTCTCTACATCTCCCCCAAGCAAGCAGCGGTACGTTGAAACCTCTCCATGGCAGTTTTCGAGTCTATCAAGCTAATTTTGGAATGATCAGACAATGGCAAAAGTGTATCCTGTCAAGTAGAAGCTCATAGAGGACATGATGCCTGCAGCCTGTAATATAGCCCCTTCAGGAGCACCGGGCCCGCTGGATGTAGGACGTACAGTTATCAAAGGAAGAGGAGTGAGCAGTCGACTGAAAACTTTGATCGGGCTTGGTGGCCGCCTACACTTAGAGTTCCGGTACTACTTCGTAGACAAGGTGGGTGGAAGAGGCATACTAGACCCTCCTAGATCTCTAGCACACATACAAACTCGCATGTTTATCAACGGGCGTCCGTAGACTGCCCGACCTGTATGCATCGTAGCCCCCTTTACCATCTGTAGACGGAGTGCCGAAAAGATATGTAGACCGGAGGAAGAAAGAACTGGGGTATAACCTCGTCGATAAGCACGAGAGTACCTACCTCGGTACTGCGGTACTCGGCGCTGTCGGGCCCACTTCTGTCACACAAAGGGCCGCTGAGAGCGATTGCGCAATACGTTAGCCAAACCAAGGAGGCGGGTCGATACATACATCGGCGTTTACACCGGACCTAACATACTGAGTGGTAACAATAGCACAAAAAAGAGTCATTCGCATCCTTGTTTTTCCATTCCTATTGCCCGTCTTTGCCTGTTGCGCGCGTCAAAGGACCTGCCCGAAATCCAGTCACAACCATCACAATTCTAAATCACAGTTGCCGCGAACAGTCACATTCATTCAATGGCGACGTAAGTCCAGATCCTCTCCTGCCCATTTATCTGCATCTTGCTAGATTTGCGTGGCTTCCAGGACAGGTAGAGAGACTGACTGAGTGTCTGATTGACTCGTGGCTTATACAGTAATATCACCTGGCATCCGTCGCTTTCGCGACATGAACGCAACCAGTTGCGTGGCCAGCGTGGTTTCACCATCTGGTTCACAGGCTTGTCAGCATCGGGAAAGTCGACGGTCGCAACCGCTCTTGAGCAGCATCTCTTGCACATCGGCCTGGCTGCTTACCGGCTGGATGGTGACAATGTGCGTTTCGGGCTGAATAAGGATCTTGGCTTCTCGGAAAAGGACCGCAATGAAAACATTCGGCGCATCGCAGAGGTATGTCCAATCCACCAGCTCCCAAGCTTTCTCTCCTTCACTCTGTTTGCTTCTCGTGCTTACTCTCTTGGATTTTGCCCTTTCAGGTAGCCAAGCTTTTTGCCGACTCTTCCACAATTGCCCTGACCTCGTTTATTTCTCCTTACCGCGCCGACCGTCAGATCGCGCGTGACCTCCACGCAAATTCGACACAGGCTGGAGATGACGTGCTTCCATTCATCGAAGTATTCGTCGACGTTCCTCTTGCTGAGGCCGAAAAGAGAGATCCCAAGGGGCTGTACAAGAAGGCCCGCGCCGGGGAAATCAAGGACTTCACTGGCATTTCGGCGCCCTACGAGGCACCAGAGTTGCCTGAAATTACCATCAGGACAGACCTTCTAAGCGTGGAGGAGTGCGTCAAGAAGATTGTAGATTACCTGGCCGAGGCTGGTCTCATCAGCGGAACTAAGGAGACAAGATAAGCTTGAACTGGACGAGGATACAATCACCCCACACCTGGGGACCCGTTTAAGTGTGCGTGAAAGCTGAATGAAGTCATTAACCGAAACCACGAGCGGATGTGCTGTCCTTGTCGGGCGCTTTCAAGGGGAGAATACCTATCTAGTAATGCCTACTGTTGACAACGTATATGGCACATGGTGCGTGAAAATCACGCCCAAGTGCGCACATTATACCATTCGCCGCCGCCGTCGTTGCTGTCGCCGCCACCGCATGGTTCTGAACTAAAACCTACCCATCAAGGAAATTCAAATTCATAATACACATAAGCCGTGTACTCGTTGGCATCACCCGCGGAATAACCTGCCGCGGCCATTTCCGACGCTAGAGAGGCATCATCTTTAGTAAACCGCCCCCGTTTGTCTCTCCCGAAGGCATTTCCACCGAGGTACGAGTATGCCTTGTCCAAAGCAGTTTTGACTTTCTTGGCCTGCTTGGGGGTGGTCTGCCACAGTGTCAGCGTAAGTCGCAGTGTCGTCATCCCTCATCGAAGCCCTACCTTGACAAGAGCACACACAAACTCCAGAGGCAGACCGTATCGCAGCACTGTCTCGACAAAAACACGTAAAGTCAAGACGTGTGCCCAGACCATGACGCTCTCACTCCAACCTGACCTTCCCATGTGCAAAGCTTCGCCCCAGACTTTCCTTTCTTCCCTGACCATGCGCTCAAGCTCGCGTTGCTCTTCCTCCTTTCCACCCTCGACGTACTTGTATTGACGGGGTGTCCACTTGTGTTCGCGACATTTGTGCAAAAAGTCGGCACTGGTTTTCTTGAAGGTTGTAACGGCAAATAGGATGAACTCGTCATCTTGCGCTATCTGAAGAGCCGACCTGGGTACAACCATTTCGGCAATGGTTTCGTAGCTCCGAAGGAAGTCTTTGCGTGCACTCAAAGGAACCACGATCAGGTGTGTTTCCAGGTATTCAGAGTCTTGAATAAGGACGTCAGGCTGGACTATGGGCGTAAGGGACTTGGTTGCAAGGTTGCCACTGAAGAGCAGTCAGTGCCTTGCGGAGTAACCGAGAGACGGCGCAACATTGAGTGACTTACGTCTGCTTTCTTTGCAAGGCAGATAAATTCGTCTTCACGGCATTATACTGGTTGAACTTGGCCTTAACATCGTTATCGATGTTCTGGATATCTTTCTGTAGATTCTCGATCAACTCGCCCAGGGGCTTTTCAGCGCGGTAGCGAACCTTGTTCCACTGGAAGGAGCAAATATAGCTGTCCGTGGGCTCTGGGTATTGTTAGCATCATCGACATAGCAATGGCGCCATCAGTTCTACGGAGGAGCAATGCTTACTATCGTTCACCATCTTTTGCTGCGATATCTTGTCTTCGTCCCCGTCAAGAATGCCTGTCAGAGAATCGGCCACTTTGGACACTACTGCCTCACAGATGGCGTTGAGCTTTGTCAGGTCATCGGCATGCTGCACCAAGGCATCAAGTGTACCGATTTTGAAGGAGGGTATGGAGAACTCGAGTATGTCCCCATTGTCCTGACCAATGGTGGAGGTGAGCTCGGAGAGGGGCTCGTCGTCGAAGATGCGGACAGGAAGAGAGACGAGCGAGTATCGAGTTGTCGGTGCCATGGTCGGTGGTCCTCGGGCACTGAAAGCGATGCTTCTATGCCCACCCTACCACTGTACCCAGAGAAATTCGCTGTCGTGATGGTGAAGCTGGGCTGTATGTGCGCAACTCGGCAGCAATCAGGGAGGAGCTGCGTCGACGAGGAGAAGGCGGGACTTGACGTCAGACTGTATATGAAGAAATGAAAGGGAATATTCGACCAGGGGCAATGCGGCGGCGGCAAGCGATGAGAAAGGGTGAATAGGACTGTTATTGACAACGATGGATGGCGATCCAATGTAGAGCTATCCGCGAGGTTCAGAGTGGGGAGCGGCCGAGCTGGCCTACGTAAGAGGGGAGGGGAGGTGATGAGTTGACGGGAGCCCCGATCCGCACGCGCGGTAGCTCCTTAAATCTGGTACACCAGACAGGTCACGAACTAGAGATAACCTGATAACTCCCCGAACCTAAGCACCGCTAGATGGTACATTGACCAGCACTGAGGCACGAACTACGCATGCGCTTCTGCTAGGAACTCTAGTTTGAGGGTTGGGGATAACAACCTCTACCAACCAACTCAGGCGGCTAGGCAAGTCCTGGAGACAGGCACCGACGGGCCAGCGGTACTTTACACGGAAGAAGTGCCCGGAAGTGGAAGCGAAAGTCGTCACTCCCTGGAGCCTCAGGTGCACCTGGAGGATACAATTGGAGCCAATTTTGCTATCTATAAGCACATAGAGAGCTAGAGGTATACAGGCACAGGCACCGGTGGCCCTCTCTGTGGGTGTCAATCTCGTCTGAGGTTCCTCGCTGCCTCTACCTACCTTCGACCGGGAAAGAGTGCCCTCGAGCGCCTGCAGGCCAACCTGTCATCCCCGCACGCTTTTACTCAAGCAGCACAGCCCGACCACGAGGGCCGACTGTACATTTCCGCACAACAACATCCGAACCCGACTCGGTTTTCTGGCGACCCCCAAAACACACATCTCGCGATTGTGCTCTCCCTCCCTCTTCGCGCTTGGCCGAGTTTGGCCGGCTACAGAGCGTTACAACGTACATTTCAACAGTGGAGGCGCGTAGTCCAACGCAGCCGCGGCGTCTGGCGTTTACATAGTGACAGGTTCCGTGGTCGAAGACGGACCGGACCATAAGCGCGCCATTACAGTTGCCATCACAGTAGCCATTTCAGTTGCTATCATTTTCCACTCGTCCATGGTGCGACCGGTCAGCTCGCTGCGACTCCCCGACCGGCACATCAAGTTTTGCTGCGCCCTTTGAACATCCGGCAGCATCGCCGCGGCCGGCGGATTCGATCTCATTGGTTACCTCTCTAGAGTTGCCTATTCAGCAGCATCTGAATCCGTTCACCATACGCTTACCCTTACCCGTCTTCTTCGTCCTGTTCCCGCCATCAAATCGTCCGCCCCTAATCTTGCGCCCGGTAACAGACAATTAGGCACTCATCCAGGGTTAAGAAACCATCGCCTAGTAATATGTGAACAGCAGGAGCTCTAGCTGTGCACTTCTGACCTCAATCTCTGCGGCAACAGCAGGATTCCATTCGCCCTGCCCCCTTCTGGCGCTCCAATCCAGATTTTGCCCGTTGCCCCACTAGCAACATTTACTGCCCGGGTGCCACTCGAGCTTGTTCCGCGGGTAGAGATTCCATGGCTACAGCTTCAGGTAGGCCAGAGTAACCCTTCGTGCATTTCGCCTCCATATACGTGGTGCATCTTGCTGACTGGCTGTCATGTTGCTCTCATAGGCCCAAAGGCTGCTAGGCCGGCCGATGCCACTATTTCCGCGCCAGGCCGGCATACTCCCGCTCAGAAAGTGACTCCGGTCCCGGTGCCAAAGCCGGGATCCGTACCGTCTCTTCCCCCGTCTGCGAATCAGGCTGTAGCTGTCGGGAGAGTTTCCAATATCGCCTTTGATTCGGCAACTGCGTCCGCCGTTCAAGGCGGGTTTGGCCTTCTTACCCCGGCCGAGTCAAACCTCCAGGACGCTGCGAACGGCCCTCACCGGGATGGCCGGATTCGGAACCCCGTTCCAAGTAAGCTCAAAGGAAAAACCGATGAATCCAAGGGGAACTTCAGCGTTATGCATATGGGGGTGGCCGGGAGGGCCGAGGCAACAGAACGAGATGCTCAAGCCAAACGTACGAGCGAGAGCACGGAGCTGGCCGCTAAACGAGCTTTCGAGAATGGCTATGTTTCGCATAGGAGAAGCAAATTTGTTCAGTTACCGGATGAGACGGCGAAGCCTTTCGTTCCAGCCACCACATCCACTCAGGCGCCCTATATGTCAGGCCGCCAAACTCCCTTGAATGCCGACGAAACCAAATCAGAACAAGCACGTCTTTTGACGCTCCTCCGAAGCCTGCAGCCGCTTCTTGTCGTCGATCAGATTTGCAAGGCCCTCGCTTTTTTCGGAGGCATACCTGGTGCTCCGCCGCCCGCGAACGGTGAGTTTCCCCAAAGCGCCGAGGCGAATGGTTCGGGAAGCTTGTTTGTTGGCTGGATAGCCGAAATCTTTCCAAAACTTGGAGGTAACAATGGGCAGCAAAATTTGGCCCCTGTTCGTCAAATGGATGGACCTGAACCAGTTCGGCGAAAACGGGGAAGGCCAAAAGGGAGCAAGGCCACCAAGGTGCGTAAGGACAAAGGCTTGAAGAAGGGCTCTAGCAAGGACATCCCCGATACAGACCGGACACACAGAGGGGCTGGTACTGATAGGAACTGGGTCGACGCTGAGTGCGGCGATACAAGCGCTCCTGACATGGTGGATGCTAATGTTATGCTGCTTGCCCAAGCCGCAAGCCCTCACCGTGAACCAGCTCATGTTGAAGCTCCAGGAATGACGCGGCCGGATACGGTTACCAGCCATGTAGCAGCGACTATTCCAGCGCGTACCATACAGCATCATGAACCCGGCAACGACAGTCTTGTCGTTGAGACCCCCGGGAATATGAAAAAGAGAGGCCGGCCTAAGGGGTCAAGAAATCGGCCAAAGGTGTTCGATGCGGCCGTTCTTCCAAGACAGTCAGTCCAGCCAGCGGATGATTCCTACACTTCTGCTCAGTTATCACAGACATTGGAAGGTACGCAGTATCAACCGGCCAATGCTTCATTTACTGCTGTGAACTCCGTCGCTTCTGTTAAGTCGGCCAAGAAAAAGGGATCGCGGCCAAAGGATTCCGCTCCCAGAACGCAGGTGGACGCTCTCGCAGAAACGGACATTTCAGGACCAAACGAACTGCAGACCACTGTACCATCTGCTGCTAAACAGCAACAGACAGTGGGACTGGATGGCAACCCAACCCAAAAGCATGTTCAGCAAAGCGTCCACTCTGATCAAGGATTACAGATTCCATCAATTAGTACGGTCCCAGCTCCGACTACTATAGACTCTGCCCAGGTGCCTGGCAATGGGGGCCAGAAGCGAAAACGGAAGACTGCAAAAGATGTTGGTGTCGTTGACAACATCAACGGGATCGGTTCGACAACTCCGTCCTCAAGCGCAGTTGCTCTGCCGACACCATCCACTCAGCAGGGTTCTCAATACATCCCTGCAATCACGACGGGAGTGGGAATCCCCGCTGCGAAACGGCAACGAAGAAGCAGAGAGTCTAGACTTAAAGGGAAGAAGTCGAATGATATGACAGTTCCAGGCTCCATCGAGCCAGCCGTTTCCTCTCAGATAAAGGCTGCCACTCCCGCACCAGCTCCCCGTCCAAATCAAGCGCCTGCGACCGCCCCCGCTACATTTCATACGGCCCCTGAAATAGGGTCAGAAGTGACCCCTGTGTCGTCGTCAGTGCCTCTTGAACAAGTTATGCCGTTAGCTCATTCGCCTCAAGGTCACTTCGACGTTCAGTCTCCGACGTTGGAGAATTATGAAGCTCAGCTACAGGCGCAACTGGAGCTGAAGAGCGACATTGAGTCACAGCATCACAGCCTTATTCCAAGACCTATAGTAACAAAAAATCATCTACAGCAACAGTCACAGCAAAGGCAGCCACCGACCCAACAACATTCACGACAACCGTCACAATCACATACACAGCATTCCATGTCACATTCACAGCCCCACCCTCGACCTGAATCATCAGCACAGCAACCTCAATCACAACGACCGCACTCGATTTCGCAGCAGCCATCGCAGCAGCACCAAACCTCTGTTTCACAGCCAAGTACTCAAGCACAATTACAAGCTCACCAGTCCCAGACCCCAAGCCCCATGATGTCTCAGCAGCAAAATAGGGCAAACCATCCTTATACGCAGTACCGCCCTTCAACATCGCCATATAGTCAAGGCCAGCATCAGCATAGCTATCCATCCCCTCAGCAACAAACTCAAAACTTTACTGCACAACAACAAGCCCAGACAACACCACAGCCTACCCCTGCTCAGCAGTATTCAAACACCCATCAATTACCGCCCTACGGTTCTATTCAACAGCCGTACCAGGATAGCCATAGCCACTACAGCGGAACTCAGCAGTCAGTAGCTTCACAGCAACGCTATCAACAACACTTGGCCACAGGTACAACGACCGCAAGCGCCTACTCTACTCACCAATCACCCCAGTTCACACCTTCATCAACAAACGCATTTGGCTCTGCAGACACTGGTTACCGAGGGTCTACTGGGAGTACAAGCAACCCGACCTACGGGTCACAACAGGGTCAGTCGTCAGCGCCATCTGCGGCTTCGACGTACCGAACGAGTAGTACGCATAATATGGTCCATCAGTCACCGTCTTATACAACGAACCCTGGAACAGCACTGCATCGCTCGAGCACAACCCACCCGACTAGTCAAGGGATTCAAGCCATCAGCAACATGCAGTCTTTCGCCGGGACGAACAACACTGAGTGGGACTTTTTGAACCCAAGTACCCTCGACAGCGCTGGAAGTCAAGGGGCTCTGACCATGGGTGGCACCGGGTACGCTATGAATACCGCTAGTGTGAGGTCAACCTCAAATTCAGGAACGCCTTTCACTGCGAGCACCATGGCCAATTTCGATGCTTCCGGACTTCCATCATTGGGAGGTAACAACAGGTATTTTGAGCTTGGACGACGATAGTCCACAAGTCTGCCTCTTCATTCACGCAGGGGAAGGTTGGTCGGCTCACCCATGCTCGAAGAGAAATTGGCTTGGACTTGGAGGACAACCAATCCGAGTGAATGCAGTACAACGTAGTGTTTTGTCTCTATGAATGTACCACTACGATGCCGATATTCGCGCTCGGCAGTGAAGTAATTTGGTGGTTTATCTTGAGCCGATCACGCCCAAACGAGCGAGCAAAAGGGTTTCCGGGAAATGCGAGTTCTACATACTTACTGCGGAGGCTTGTTATGTATTTTTTTTTATCTCTTCTCCTCGCGCGTTATCAATCGTGTCATTGACCAGCTACAGAGCGCCCAGTTTCGTGAGCGTAAGATAGATGTGTGAAAGATTCCAGAGCATTCAACTGATCTCCTGTATATCCAAATACACTATCAGTGAAACTTGTTTCTGACGGGATCGCGCCACCTTGATATGGTGTACTTTCAGACCATCTTGAGATGCTGTTTTGCGCAGGACGAACCCTCGCGCTATCCGATGCTGATAATTGTGCAGCTCATTAGATGTATGTATGCGTTGCGTTCGTGTAGTGTCTCGGACAAGCCATGAATTGTAGCTTGAAAGAACACCATGTTGTTATGTTTGTTATGATCCCGTGCTATACATAGCATGCTTTGCGACAAAAAATGTAACGCCGGGGAAGCATGAGGAACTCTGAGCCGATCAAGCCGCATCACGTTCGACAGAGAATTTAACAAGTGGCCCTCTTAGTTTGTGGCTCTAGTATACCATTCAAAGACACCGGTTGTAAACTAAGACTACCATACATATGGAATTTGAAAGGAAGACAAAGCAAGAAGATACGGATACCATTGGGAAAAAAAAAAAAAAAAAAAAAAAAAAAAAAAAAAAAAAAAAAAAAAAAAAAAAGAAGAAAAAAGAGATGGAACGCCTTCAAATGCTTTTGATATGAATACCCTGGTACAAAGTGCAAATAGGAAAGATTTGATGAAAAACGCCGTGGGCATCCGCTTGGTGAAGCCGTCTCAGTATGCGCTGGACTGTGGCTGTGTGGATGAGGAAACAAAAGACCAATACTATAGTATGTGAAGTATACACCCTTCATGTTTCTGCTGCAGTAGTTGAGCACCGGAGACAGGACAGATGAATGGACTGCTAAGCTTACTCATTCTAGGACATCCTCCTCGATGGCCTCAAGATTGGGTCGTACAGACTCGGGGGCAACAGTGCCATACCACCACTGGTCTTCCTCTTCAAGCCTGTCTTCGCAGATCAGATCGATGAATATTTGAGCGTTGCGCTTAATATCAGAAGCACGTTCAACTATCTTCCGTTCCAGAATCAGGGCCTCGGCGGTTTCCAGAAAGATTTTTTGCAGTATTGGGAGGTCGGAAAGCAATAGCTTCAGCTGGTCCCTGGCCAGTGGCCCCATAGGCCTGCCAGTGGATAGGCTAGTGTTGAAAACGAGATCGCTCATCGGATCTCTGGCCGTCATACTGGCTTCTCCGAAAACCCGAGCATTGGCCACCACCGCGTCTCCTAACGAATTCTTTCCCATACCGAAGGAGGACTTCTTGCGTTTCAACCCCAGCATGCCCCGTTTTTTCTTGGGTTCTTGCTCGGCCGTGTCGCGTGTGATGGAGTTATACCAGTTATCCACGGCCGCCCGTCTTGTATTGTATCCTTTCACCTCCCATATCCTTTCCACCTCTCTGAGGCCCCCAATGCACAGGATTGCAACATGCACCTCATCCGGCGGCTTGTCCCTCAAATAACCCCTGATCGACCTTTCAACTAGGCCGACATACGACGGCGGACGAAGGCGACGGCAGAAGGAGGATATAACCAAGGGAAATACCTCATGTACTCGAAGCAAGGTCTTGTCATCATACAAACTCATAATTTGGGCCTCTATAGGGTTAATCGTGTACGGTTCTCGGAGAAGGCCCTTGCCGTCATTTTCGGCGAGATATTTTAGGTGGTGCTCCCGATAGATCTCGAAAAAATGAAAGATGGTGAATAGCAGGGGGATCAGGCGTCTTCGCATCCGTTCCCTTTGAGGCGCAAAGGCCTTTTTCTTTTCTTCAGTGTTTCGAAGGAAGAGCTCCCGCGATATCCACTCACACATCAAATAAGATAGCTTAGCAGCCACATGAAGCCTGTGCCATATTCCGCAGAGATAGTGAAGATTCAGGGCCGATGGTGCAGGGGGCGGGTATAGTCGTTTGGCATAAGCTGGAACGTGGTTATCGAGATGATGGCGTGCGATGGGGGCTTCATTGAGCGATATTAAAGCATGTAGCGACCGCGATGCCAGTCGTAAGTTGAGAATGTCAGAGAGTGGGAGTGAGGCAATGATCTCGACTTGCAGCTCGGTAGGCAAAAAGTGGAATTGTCGATCGAAAGAGGTGCTCTGCCGGGGCAACGGCTCTGTGGCCAAGAAGCGACGTTCGCCTTGATCCAACGAGTTAGAGCTCGATGTCGCCTTGGCATGAAACTTTCGAAAACTGAGAAAGCCTTTCTTCTCGGTACGCTTCTGCTCGCTAGCCCTGATTGTTGCATCTTCGGCTTCGGGAGGGTAGGCACCTCTGAAAGGAAGAAGGAACTGTGAGGGCGGCGCGGCAGTGGAAGGTGGTGGCGTAATGCTTGTCTGCGGCCGATTAATCTTGTCCAGATATCGCTCCGAACCAAACTCGGTGATGTGTAGAGAATCCATCTCTCTGGGTGTCTGCTGAGCAAGGGTGCCCGGGGTCAAGAAAGGATTGGGGAGAACCGGTGCAAACTAGAGAGATGATTCATGTGGTTTTTTTTGTTTTTTTTTGGGGGGGGTTTCTTTTAGGGCGAGCGGCACCACCTCCTCTTTACCGATGCCGCAACAAAACAGCTGCGATGGTCGATGTGTTTCGTGTCGAAGACGCAAGCTGGTCGCAGTTCAAACATTGTAAAGCATCAGTGTCGAGGAGTAAAGAGTCGAAATTGACCGGCAGGAGAAGTATGGCTCTTCCCACTGTATAGACCAAAGACGTGATGTTGTGTAATTGAAGCCGTCGAGACGTGGGAGCAGGCGAGTGAAGTTGAGAAAGGATCGGTCGGGACCGGGCAGTCTTCGTCGCATTCAGGTTCGCGGTTCGCAAGCGGGCACTGCGCGTCGATCAAGGTGCATGCGCCGCCGTGTAATGCGATGACTCGTATGGATCGCTGGGCGAGGTGATAACGGCGCCGGCGGTTGTCACCAAGCGACAGGAGGTAGGCAGTCGGAGGTGGCAGGCAGAGTCGGCTAGAAGGGCGGACCGGGCGCAAGAAGAGTTGTGAAGACAGGCGCGAATGATTGTCGAAAATCTCAGGGCAGTCAAAGATGTTGTGGCTGTTGGTCGCAGCTGGTAGGCGAACGGGTGTCCGTCAGTGACACGGCGAAGTCGGAATTCGAGGAGACCACAAGAATAGGTACCTAGGATGTGGACCGACTAGGACCGACCAGTCTGCTACCTCCTCGATCTAGGAGACCCTCGGACCCTCGTGGAGTAGTTGGGATACCGGGACGCGGGAAGGGGGAGACGGAATCGGATCAAGGTGGAATAGTATCTAGTGTGCATGGGTGGGTTCCGGTGGAAGTGGCAATTCGGAGCCGAAAACCACTGTACTTACCTACTACGGACGGGGACCCAGTGTTTCTACCGTGCAGGTCCCTTCCTTTCAACTACACATCAGTGTGCAGGCCGGGTGTTCGCAGCAGGCCTTGCAGGTGAACACTGTGAGTTTTACTGCGTACAGAGGGCTGAGAGGCCAATGTGCTCAGGCGCGACAATGGACGCTCAAACAGATAACAACCGCACCCGAACAAAAGGAAGTAATAAAAGTTGATAAACTACCGTAGAAATTCCAGAGATCCAGAATTGAAAATCTCCTTTTTAAGCGCCCGACAGTACAACTAAGTAAGCACAGGAAGCAGCACACGTCTTACATAAGTATGTCCGCTCAATTAGTGACAGCTCTACAACACTACCTAGGTATCCACCGCTATCTTGCCTGCGGTTTGGAGCACACCTTGCTTGATATCTAGGGTTTTTATGTATTAGCTATTTGCCAGTTGACTGAATTTCTGCGTTAGGCAGAACTGGCCGGCATGTGCACTATGTGGTATAGGGTATAAATGGAAGCGGACAAAATGAGCATCTTATCTGTTTGGATGACTGCACGCCACAGCAACTTGAAAGACATATCGATGTACACATATAGTCTCAGTTCTTAGACCCACTCAATTTCTAAAACTTACCCTACCCCCAACCTTATAAAAGTTCGAGGAGGGGAGACTTATATATTTGTGGGGCGGGTCCGCTGAAGCGTTGTTAGTGGGGGTTAGTATAATAGAGACTAGTATATATAGTACTTATAACTATAAATAGAATAGTTTCTAAAAACTAACCTTTATTATATTAACTCTTGATAATAACCTTTGATAGACCTACTCTACAAATACGTGGGTCTCCTCTCTTTGAACTTTTTATAGGCATTCTCAAAAGAAAATAATAGAAAAAAAAGGGAGAGGGCCTTTAGTACTAAGCTTTAATATAGGTCTACTTTTGGAAAGCTCTTTTGATTCACATTTATATTTATTTTGAAAAAAATTGCCTAATATTTAGAGAATTCTCTAAAATTCTCAAATTTACTTAATTATTTTAAGTTTAATAGTCAAAATATAGGAATACTAAAATGATTTTAAAAATAGTCTTAAAGAGATAATCCTAAAAATATATTTTATTTTTAGCTTTGATTATCCCATTATAGAAAAACTACCTTGAAGAGGAGAATTTAATATCTATATTAGCTTCTTTTCCTTTTCTTTAAAATTAACCCTTATATATAATACTAAAATAAGAAAAATATATTATTAAGATAACATTAATGAGATAATCCTTATAACACTCTTAAGTTTTCTATATAATAGAAAATAACTAAAATACAATTAAAAATATAATAATTTCTATAGAAAGAAGAAAAAAGAAAAACGTTTTCAATTGTATTTCAACTATTTTCTATTATACTAATCATAATAATCTTGTTCCCTATACTATATAACTATAGTGCCATCTTGGCATGGGGTCCTTCTTCAGTTCCTTAGAGGGGAAAACCGTATGGCGTTAAACGCCGCCGGATAAAAACCCCTAACTATATCTTAATCATAGATTTTACACCGCTCCTACTTTGCTTACAATTATAATAGTTCTTACCTACTGTTATAGCGAATTAATTTTGTCTCTCCCACTACTATATTATCCTAATATTAGAATAATAAGAATAATAGAAATAGGATTTAACTTCAAAACGCCGCCTCCCTTTATTATCCCTCTATCCTAATATTTATCGCTCTTTCTTCCGCCCTTTCTTAATTACCCTATCGTATCTTCCTATCCATTATTCTATTTCCCCGCCTCTTTATCCTATTTACAATCACCTCTACCCTAACCTTTTACTTCCTACCCTATAATTCCACCTCTATTTATAATAGTATAAAGATTCTCTCCTTCTTCTATATAATCCTCTTTATAGTACTTCTTTCTAATTCCTATCCTTCTTTTTCCCTATTATAATTTTATTTAAAATAATTTCCTTTCATTATTATTACCCTAATCTAATTAATTTAATTTCTAATATAGAAATCTCCTTTCTTAAATTACTCCTTAGCCCTACGTCCCTAGCATATTTAGAGCCTACAACCCTCGTCCGCTTCCTTTATAATTTTCCTAACCTTATAGTTCCCTAGAACTAGTATAATTTCCTCTACTATCCTTCTAATTTATATACTAACCCAATTAGTATTATTTATAAAATTCCTTACCTATACTATACCCTAAATTTAACTACTTACCCGAAGACTAACGACAAGCCCGCCTCCCCCAATACTTTCCGTATAATTATTATTAATAAGGTTTACTATATTTTAATATCTAGTAGGTTCTTTGTCCTTCTATTTCTTTCTTTATTATTATTTAATTCTTATATTATAATTACCGGCTTTTAGACTACGACCTATATTTATACTATTAATAAATATATATTAAATATCCTTACTAGCCTTTATAACGCCCGTAACGCTATCTAGGCAGTAGTTGTTATTATACTATTGGGTAGCTAGCTTGGTTTTAATTAGAAATTAGGGTCCTTCGTTTATATTATTAATAATTTCGCTAATCGTATATATACGCGCCTAGAGTATAACGACCTGCCCACTAATATTCGCACTCTTCCCCACCCCCTATACTCCAACTTCGCCAACCTCCTACGGAAGGGTTACCGTAAGCTAATCGTGAGGGATGTCCGTTATAGTCGCACCCCCTCTTTCTATTATACTAAGAAACTAAGAATATTTTAAAAATTTTCTTATTTAGGCAATTCTAAAAGTATATATATATAATACTAAATATTTATTTAAAAAGTTCTTTTAAAAGAAAAGGTAAGAAAATAAAAGGGTAGCCTTAGTAGTTGTATTAAATCTCTACTTTTCTCCAAATTAAGCTCAAACTATCTTTAATAGTAGAAGCTATAGTAGATCTGCCAAAGTATTGCACAGCGAGCAGTCGTGTATAATTAAATTACTATATTTAATAAAGAGAGTAAAAGAAAGACTATACTAAAAGGGTGTAGTCTGGAGAAGGTTTTGTATAGGGCGCTAAGACTATATAGGTAATACCGTTAAGAGGGTATTTGAACGTTGTAACAATATGTGTCTTAATTAAATATATATAAAGTAATAATCTAGAAAAGAATCCAGAGCAGAAAACTTACGTACGGTCGGTTGACCTTAGAAGGGCACGCAAACCTTATCTAATCTATATAACCCATATAGGCGGGTCCCCGTAAAAGCGGTTCATTCAATTAAACCCGACCAACTTACATTATTTAGTTAGGTAATCTAATACGTAATAACGCTAGTAATACCGTTCCAATATTAAATCCCGGCTACTAAAATAAACTACTACTATCTTTAATAATTTACTAAATATATATATATAAATTACCTCATTCACTTCTTCCTTAGCCTTAAATTCCTACCGTATATAGGGACCTTTACCTTATCTTATTTAAAGTAGACCTTCTTATACAACGAACTCCTTACCGCAACCTTCTCACAACTTCCCAAACGCTCCTAATATTCTATTACTAATTCTTAAACGTTCCTTATTTCCTTTTTAAACAAATACTTATTATAGTCGTAGCTGTAACCGGTCTATTTTACTAAATATTTCTATCCTCTATTCTTCTTATCCTCTATATAATTTAAAATTATATTTATTTCGTATTCTCTTTTATTATTAAAATCTTATTAACTATCTTCTACAAATCCTAGGGGTAATTATATTTAATAAAATAGGTCCTCTCCCTAAAGTACGCCTTTAAAGTACGTAGCAAAAATAATAAAGTAAATTCTAATTATTTCTAAGGGTAGATCTAATTAATATACCAACTTTCCAATATACTTTACTACTATGAATAATTTTACTCGCTATTATAAGAACTTTCTAGAAGGGCGCCCTAAAAAATAATATCCTTTATAAAATTTAAAATATACTTTATCTTCTATTATAAATTTATACTACTAATAACTAGCGTTATATCACTTCTTTACTTTAACTACCATAAAAGTTATAATTAATTACATATTTTCCTAAAAGCTATTTTAGAACGTAACGTAATTTTCGGCAATATTCGTAGCCGTTCCCGAATTAGCTAGTATTTCTAAAGGTCCTATTAAGTTGAATCTGAATAATTATTTATATAAGGTAATTTAATTAGATCCGAATAAACATTATTTATATTCCATTATAAATTGGGTAATATCTCTACTTAATTTGATTCTAGTTTTATAAAATAATGAAAACGGGTAGTAATTTTTACGTCCTAATTACGCCTTTCTATTATACTATTATTTTAAGGGTAATATA